CCAGGCTGGATTCGAACCTACCACCTTAGGTGTATGTGGCTGGCACCTTAGCCACTTGAGCCACAGGCGCTGAGCCACATTTATTTTTTAATTAATTAATCAATTAATTATTTTTTGAGATAAGAGTGTCATTTTGTTGCCCTTGGATAAAGTGCCATGGCGTCATAGCTCACAGCGACCTCATACTCTTGGGCTCAAGCGATTCTCTTCCCTCAGCCTCCTGAGTAGCTAGGACTACAGGAGCTCGCCACAACATCCAGCTATTTTTATTTATTTATTTATTTAGGCAGAGTCTCAAGCTGTCACCTGGGTAAAGTGCCAGCTGGTGTCACAGCTCATAGCAACCTCAAACTCTTGGGCTTAAGCGATTCTCTTGCCTCAGCTCCCAAGTAGCCGGGACTACAGGTGCCTGCCACAATGCCCAGCTATTTTTTGGTTGTAGTTGTCATTGTTGTTTGGCAGGCTGAGGCTGGATTTGAACCCGCCAGCTCCTGTGTATGTGGCTGGTACCCTAGCTGCTGAGCTATAGGAGCCGAGCCACCCTGCTATTTTTAGAGATGGGGTCTTGCTCTTGCTCAGAGTGGTCTTGAATCTGTGAGCTATCAACTGGTCTCAGTCTCCCAGAGTGCTAGGATTACAGGTGTGAGCCATGGCACCCAGCCTTATTTTGAATTTCTGACCTACCAAAAAGGTCCTAATTTAAACCTGTTTCTAGAAATTCTAAGCTAGTGAGCAGGCAAAGCTTATATCCATAACAAACAAAACAAATGTTCTGGCTCACCTTTTTGGAGAACTCTTTTTCTTTGTCACTGAGTGCTTGGGTTTTCTCTTGTTCAAGAAGAAAATGTGATCTTCTCTGTTCCTCTAGAATAGATTCTGTCTGATGCAGTGAGTCCCGTAGAATTTTAATTTCTCCATTCTTAATGAGGACTTCTTCTTCCATTGCCTTCAGCTGTAAATTCCAAATTAAATTTGTGAAAAGTTTGTAAAGGAAAATTACATATGTATTTTGTTTTAATATGTAGCTGAGGATAGAGAAAGCACAGAAAAAATACGCCTTACACACTAATGAATGCTCAAAATATACCTGTACCAATCAAACATCACCATGGTTTGCTGGGCTTGTTCATGGGATAACTTTTTTTTTTTTTTGAGACAGAGCCTCAAGCTATCCTCCTTGGTGGAGTGCTGTTGCATCACAGCTCACAGCAACCTCCAACTCCTGGGCTCAAGCGAGTCTCCTGCCTCAGCCTCCCAAGCAGGCGCCCGCCACAATGCCCGGCTATTTTTTTTTTGGTTGCAGCCATCATTGTTTTGGTGGGCCTGGGCTGGATTCCAACCTGCCACCTTAGGTGTATGTGGTTGGCGCCTTAGCCACTTGAGCCACAGGTGCCGAGCCCATGGGATAACTTATATCCAGTAGGATAGCTTAGAGATACACTTGTCACTTACATATGCAGATTCTTTAAGCGCTAAGAGGCATTTAACAATCTAGGTTACACACTTCACTGAATTCAAAGTCGACATTACATCCCTGCTTTTCTTAGGAACCTGTATATGGTCATATGAAGGATGTCTGCTTTCTTACAAAACTGCTAATGAAAACAGCAACCATTATGATAACATGTTCTTTTTTCAAGAGACAGAGTCTCTTGGGTGGCGCCTGTGGCTCAAAGGAGTAAGGCACCAGCCCCATATACCAGAGGTGGTGGGTTCAAACCCAGCCCTGGCCAAAAAGAGACAAAGTCTCACCTTATTGCCCTCAGTAGAGTACCATGGTATCATAGCTCACAGCAACCTCCAACTCCTGGGCTTAGGTGATTCTCTTGCCTCTGCCTCCTGAGTAGCTGGAACTACAGGTGTACTCCACAGTGCCCGGCTATTTTTTTGTTGCAGTTTGGCTGGGGCTGGGTTCGAACCTGCCACCCTTGGTATATGGAGCCAATGCCCTACCCACTGAGCCACAGGTGCTACCCCTTTTTTTTTTTTTTTT